TTTTTGAAGTGTAATCAGTAGCTGTGAGTCAAAACAGCACGTACACAGTTACAGATACACAATTTAATATTCTTAATTTGAACTATAAAAATGACAAACGGGAAAATTGTATACAATAGATTGCAACTTTTCCAATGATGCCTCACATGAAGCATTTCTCAAAGCATTCCAGCTGTCATATTAATATTAATAAGCATATTTTATAAGAAATATGGAATGTATCGTCACACTACCCAAAACTGAATGAAAGTTATCCACTTTACGAGAAGGTATAAGCTTTAAGGGCAAATTTAAAAAGGGATAGTATGGCAGGGGCATCCATACTTCGTCCCACTGAGGGACACACAACTACCCTGATCTGAAGCCTGCTCCCAATTGCCTAAAATAAAGCAAACTGCAGCTGCTTTAATGTTTAATGCAAAGTAGCACTCATGAAGATAATGCTCCATCTCGACCTGAATGAAAGGTACTCAGATTAAAAAAAAAGCATTATATGGCTTTTCCTGTAATCACTCCTAAATTCAATGCCTGTATGAAAGAGATCTGGGAAGGTGTTAAAATTGAATGAACCATGTTTTAAGAAATGCCTGCTGCTGGGCAGAAAGAGAGACCAGTTCTCTTCCTTTCATATTTGTAGCCATTGGAGATGGACATCCTCCAATGCTGTATGAAATTGTCTTATTATTATAAATATGCATAACTCGAAGATACTTTGGACAAAATATCTCAGGAAACCCATACATTGTCATGTCACCATCTGCTGGATCTGTATATCATATTTTGATGTATGTATCACTCTTGTATATAAAGTTAGAAATATGGGGTATGGAATGGTTTGTGTGTAAATGAAAGCCGTCAAGGATGCTTCCAGTGCTGGTATGCCTTAGTGACTGAGGGATAATTTAACAACTCGAGAACAGTCTTGTTTGTACTTCACCTGCCCACCCTGGGAGCCACCAGACAGCCAACACAGGCCAGATTTGGCTCCTGTACGAGGAAGGCAGGATAAGAGACCACATGAAGGTAGGGGAGTAGGATAGGTTCTGGAGTGGCTATGGGGATACTGGAAAGCATAGGGTTGTTGAGCAGTGGTTAATCTTAGGAAGACATGTGAACACCTCAACTGGTAAGGTCTGGCTAGGTAATTTTCTATGAAAGGTGGGGCACAGAACAAGTTCCCACCTAAACTGAAATCTATAAAACAATGGGAAGCTATCTGTCCCTTTGGCTGGTATGGCACACCCAAAAGAATAACAAGAGACCCCAGGAATAAAAAGATCTTCTCTGGCTTGGCGGTTTCAGGGATGGGCAACGTAAGGCCTGGCTCCCCTGAAGCCTCCCTAGCATTGGAGAGCCCACACTAGTGCTACAGCTGCATCCTCCTCCCACCCCCACATCAGTACAATGACCATATTTTCTGAACCAAAAATGGGGACATGTTAGCCATGCCCTCTGACCCTGTCAGTCACATCCTTGACTCCATTAGCCATGTGCCCAAATCCTTAGGCCACACCCACCTGCCACAGGAAGTTTCACCCCTGGAGGTAGTACTTCCCACCAGTACTGGGGTCAAGATGGACACATGGCCAGAAGTAAAGCTCTCTTCCCACCATCCTCTATCAATAAGGATGCATTTAGGCCCCACAGTATCTCCCCATCCAACTATACTGCAATTGTATTAACCCAACATGCATTGCATTAAAATGGGGGTGGGAGGGGGAGAGAGAGGCAAGAGTGCCTCTATTTCAGTGATTCTCAAACTTTTTGGGCTGTGAACCACCTGGCTCAGTGTAATCCTTTCCCCAGACCATCAATTGCTAATGGAAACTCGCCATTAATTACATAATTATGCCCAAGCCATTTTGCTAGTGCTGCAGCTAGGGAGAATAGTTTAATCATAGAATCATACAACACTACAACTGGACGGGACCTCAAGAGGTCATCAAGTCCAGTCCCCTGCCCTCATGGCAGGACCTAGTACAGTCTACCATGCCTGATACGTCTATTGAACCTGCTCTTAAATATCTCCAGAGATGGAGATTCCCCAACCTTCCTAGACAACTTATTCCAGTGTTCAACCACCCTGACAATTAGGAAGTTTTTCCTAATGTCCAACCTAAACCTAAACCTTGCTGAAGTTTAAGCCCATTGCTTCTTGTCCTATCCTTCGAGGTGAAAACTGTGGCACTTAGAAATGAACACTATACTCCAACTGAGGCCTAATCAGCAGAGTAGAGCCGAAAGTTACTCTTCTCTGGACTTTCTCCAATTCCTCCATATCTTTCCTGAAATGTGGTGCTCAGAACTGGACACAATACTCCAGCTGAGGCCTAATCAGTGCAG